TAAATTTTCTTCTGCTTTTTTCCCCTTCTTTTAGTTTTTCTTTAAGAAAGGTTTCAAATCATTCTATAAAGTAGCCAGAAAGGCACAAAATCTGTTCAAAATCAACAGCACATTCGACTTCACCTGATGCTCCAGTACATCTTATTTGGCTACACAGAGCTTCATCCAGCTCGGTGTCAAGGCTTAATGCTGCTTGGCTCCAAGGTCAAGGTGTTTAAGGCCAAGGATGACAAGTTGGCCTGACAGGAAGTGAACAGAAGACCATCCTGTACCAGGCCCTGCAAGTAGCTCAGGCTAACTCTGCCCCTTCACTGCCTGGCTCTCTTGCAGGGAACAGTGGTCTGCCTGGCATGTCTGAGTCTGGCTTTTGTCCTTCAGCTGTCATTTCTGTCACTTCTCATCATGTTCAGGAGCTACTGGAGAAGGGGGAAAATGGTTTCTCTGAAGGCTGCATACTATAGACCTGAACACAGTTCTGGTTTTAATCTATCTGGTGGCCATATAACTGGGCATGACTTCATTTGTCTGAAATGGTCAGGCCCAATTTAATGAGAAGCATGGAGTGTTGTAAATCCAGGGGGTGAAAACCGAATAAAGGAAAATGCAGGCTAAATATCAGGGAAAATTTCCTGATCATGAGCCTGGAATGAAGAAGAGGGGAGGTGTGGTCGGTGTGGTCAGTGTCTGAAAGTAGATGGGGGCAGTGGGTGGAGAAAAGTCCACCGTAGACCTCTTCCCTCCATGAGTTCCCGCTGGGTTTGCTTGGCAAATGGGTTCACCTGCTTCTCAACTCCACTTCATGAAATGCATGGAAAAAGTGAGTCTAGTGCAATACAGTTCAGCATGTACAGGATTCTGGCTTCTTCCACTGGGGAGCTAAAGTCTTCCTAGTACCTGCTGAAAGTTTTGTGCTAGGTGGATGTGTTTTCCTTGTTTATAGTGGGGATAGAGAGCGAGCAGAGAGCAGAAGAGTCATTCTCCTGCTGCATGCCTCCATCCATTCTTTGTTTTCTCTGTCTTCCCTGCTCCATGCCTTGGAAGCCTTCCTCTGATCAATAGGTAGCACAGGAAGGTGAGAGAGCAGGAAGAAGGAGAGACCGAGGTGTTCGTTCCTGTTTCCGCCCTGCCCCCATACTCTCAGTCATGTCTTCATTCCCACAGAGCAAGGGTCTGCCAATATTTTCTGTATAGGGCCAGAGATAAAGACTTTGGGCTTTGTAGATCAAGAGGCAAAACTGAGGCCTCTACGCTATATGTACATACTACGTATGTACTTATATAACCATTTAAACATATGAAAACCACCTTTTATCTGCAGGTCATGTAAAAACAGGTGGCAGGGTAGATTTAGATTGTCAACTTTTGCTCTATGGCCACAGAAAAGTTGGGTGGTCTCTTTGCCAAGGTTGCAGCTCCCACTGGGATCCAGTAACACCATTTTCCCACTTGCCCTTCAGGTAGGGATGTAACAACTCTTGCTGTTGCTAGTTCCTGGGTGCCTCACCATCCTCGTGGGTTCTCTTAAGCCTGTCCATACGTCTGTTAGTTCAACTCTTGTGAGTATGCTGTTTCCTACCAGGACTGTGACAACTCCAGGGAGAGGGTGCAGGGAAAAGGAGCAGAGTTTATGGTATCACATAAGGCTAAATGTTTTGTCCACGGCCTAGATGTCTGTAGGCATTGTGGCTAGAATGGGGTTCATGAACACTGAAGTTCTGGTAGCACGTCTGCCCTACTTCTCCACAGAGTATACTTTTGAATTCCTTTCTGTGCTTTTATTCTTCTTGTCTGCACCCTTTCTTTTTTTTTTTTGAGTTGGAGTCTCACTCTGTCGCCCAGACTGGAGTGCAGTGGCCGCTCCCGGCCACCACAGCCTCGACCTGCTGGGCTCCGGCGATCCTTCTGCCTCAGCCCTCCAAGTAGCTGGAACTACAGGCGCACGCTACCACACCCTTTCTTCACCTACCCAGCCCTGATACGCCTAAGGTGACTTCTTTTCCTGTCCCCTCCTCAAGGAAATGGCAAGAAGAATGCCACCTTCCTGGACAGAGAGGATCAAAATGATCCATGTGGTCTGACTGGCATGACGCTCTGGGAGTGGTTTCATAATCACATCTCATGCCTTAATATCATGTCTTTAATAAGACATGATAGAATCCCTCCTCTATGCCAGGTACAGTGCTGTTTATTGGGGTTTCAAAGCATAATTGGTGCCTGCAGGGGGTGAAATCTGGTGGTGGGAAGGCTCATAAACATGAGTCATCACACCAACGGGCTATTTATACATTTGCTACCCAGCAGAACGAGCTGAGTCAGTGCTGGCATTGGTTCCACCTGGCAAGAGGAACGTTCATGCTTCTCATGTCCTTATGTGCTTAACAAGTCCACCAGCATCCTAGGTCTTTTCCATCTGGCCTTTTAGGTGATGCCATGATGTTCAGATTACCAACCACTTAACATTAATCTAGCGGTTGAGTTTGTGGTAAAAATGGACCCAATGTGAAATCTGATGTGGGTCTCCTTGCTGAGACTCGTGGCAAATCATGGTGGTATGATCATGGCCTCTTTGTCTATTTTAATAATCCAGGTACCACTGTTCCTGCCCTCCAAGAACCTCCTATGGAATGATGGCTGGAACATTTGGTGGCAACTTCTTAACTGAGTTTGTTAAAGTCAAGATAATTAGGCCTACTTCCAGAGTTTCTGATCTATTAGAACTTGGGTGGTCCCCGAGAATGTGCACTTCTAACAAGTTCTTGGGTTATGCTACCCATTGAGAGCCATGAGTTTAACACAATGACTAAGGAGGAAGCTCAAGAGCCAGGACTGTGGATGCAGTGGTAATTGAGCCAGCAAATGAGTATCGCTTAGGGAGCTTGGATGTGAAAATTGAAAAGGCAGACAGACACTGCAGATAAAATGTTTCACTTGATGAGGAAAAAGTGGGCAAGGTGTGAGAGCCAGTGTGTTTTGGAGGTCTTCTGTGAGACTTGGAGTCACCAGGCCTTGAAATCTGTATTTTTTACAGCACTCCCAGGTGATTCTGAAACAGCTAGGTTAGAGAGCCTCTGTATATTCAGTATCTGGCAGTGCCTGGCACATAATAGGTGCATGACAAATGCTCATTGAGTTGATACTAATTCCAAGTGGGTGTTGGAAATGCTTTTAGATTTCTAAATGTATTTGTCCATATCCTTATTTGTTTTATAAAACTTAGTCCTAAAGCACCAGTTAATAAAGCAATAACATGTTCTCAAGCAGATACTGGTTCTCCAGCATAATCTCAACATCCAAGATTACAGAAATGAAAACCTGGCTATAACCAAAGATGTTTGTTAGTCACAAGGTACAGATTCCTGAAAGCAACATAGAAAATCCCCTTTCTTCTTCATCTCTGAGAATCTCCTTGGCTCCTTCCTGTCTGCACATGTATGCACGCCACTGCATGTTCCCCATTAGAAAATAATTAGAAGCAAACAGCTGTTAGTCAAACAAGCAGCACTTTGCCCACATCTTTCCAGAGTTCAATCCATTGCCCCAGGGAAGCTTATCTTAAAAAAGAATCTCACTACTTAAAACATGACAAACCCAAATGGAAATGCACTACAGTTCAGGTGAGCCTGAGTTAGCTTGGCTGAAAATATGGACAACCAAGAAAGTTTCACTACACTGTTTGAACCAGTATTTCTTTTCATTTTGTAGGAGAAGAGCTGCTCCAAAATTAGCAAATAACTCAGTGAATGAAGACAGTTATCTTTGTCACCATTGACAGAAGGTTAAGGCTCTGTGTGTGTGTGTGTATGTGTGTGTGTGTGTGTGTGTGTGTATGTGTGTGTGTGTGCAGGTATATGGGATGGTGATGGGAGCTGGCTGTGTGTGTATGTGTGTGCATGTGTATGGAGTGGTGACAGGAGCTGGCTGTGTGCGTGTGTGTGTGTGCATGTGTAAGGAGTGGTAATGGGAGCTGGCTGTGTGTGTGTGTGTGTACGCATGTGTATTGGATGGTGATGGGAGCTGGCTGCGTGTGTGTTCATGCATATAGAGTGGTGACAGGAGCTGGCTGTGTGCATGTGTGCATGTGTGTAAGGGGTGGGGATGGAAGTTGGCTCTTATATTGAGTCTTTCACTTGGCCCAGTTTTGTTTGCAGCATGGATCTGAGGCTGTAGCCCTGAGTTGGGACTTTGGGTTCCAGACCTCAGCAGACCAAGGACTTGGCCAATCTCAGTTTTCTCCTGTATGAGATGAGAGAGAGAGAGAGAGAGAGAGAGAGAGGATGGATTATGTCTAGAATCTCTTCGGCTACAATTTTCTAGTGCTCTCTGACACTGGCATAGTGCAGATGTTTATGGACAAGATTAAAGAACAAGGATTTTTGATGAAATCTCATGAATCCAAAGACAGTTGCACTTAAGAGGAATACAAAAGAGGCCTTCAAGAAGCATCAACTGCCTCCTATGACTTGCAATTCAGGATTTTAAGTTCTGGAGCTGTAGGAGAAAGAGAGATGGTAGAGAAAAGGGGGGATTTGCTTGCAATCAGGAAGAGTGAGTCCTAAATCCATGGCTGGTGCAATTCACCAGTGTGCTCTGGTACACTGGCAAGAGTCTTGCATAAAAGGGAATAGGCTTATGTTATGGCAAGAGGATAGAGTAACATCAAGGAGAATGCCGACATTTTTGTTAGGTAGCGGACCGTCTACTCCTTGAAGCTGTGAGATCTATAGTGACCCTAAGGAGTTATTACTCAAGTCGCTTGGCTTATAGTCCACGTTAATTCTACTGCTTTGTCACAGTAGAAATTCTAGTTTCCAACCTTGATAATGTGGAAATTAAGAAAAGTAATTACTTGCACTTCTAAGTCTATAATTTAAAAAAACTGTTCCCTTGGGATGCGAATGGATTTTGGTTTGGGATTTTTATCACACCAAAATATTCTTATTCTTACTATGTAAGTGTTTTATCAAGACTAATGATGGCTTTTTGAGTAGAAAGAGACACACCTTGATCGGAGAGTACCACTTCCGAGGGGAAGAGGGCCGACGCATGTTGTTGTTGAGATTTCGAGGTTCAGGGAATTCGTATTCCTGCTCTGGCATCTTGACTCTTGCATTCTTTGCCTTTTCTAACTTAGCACCTTCTTCTGTGGAGCCTTTTTCTCCCCAACGAACCTAAAATAAATGAAAAATGATGGAACAAAATGACAGAATAAAATATGTTGTTCCTTGAAAATGGGAATCACAAATCCATATGTGAAGTACAATATAAGGGCTAACTGACCCTCAATTCCGTTGGGTTTTGAGGGCCAGGAAAGAGGGAAAGTACGGAAAAGGGAAAGGCAGGAGATGAGAGAGCAAGTCATGGGGTTGGGAATAAGAAGGAGAATTGTTCTGGCAGTGTGGGCGGCATGGGTAATGGCCTCGTAGGCCCGGGTATGAACTTGGGATTTTACTCCAATATGAAAAGAAACCAGGGGAGGTTTGAGCAGATGTGTGACCTGCTCTGATTCACAGTGGGCAAGTACACAGTTAAAGGCTGTACCTCTTATCTTTCTTTCTGCCTTACATCCCTGCCAGACTTCCATGAGTTTTCACCAATTTGCTCTGTGTTTTCCCCATGGCATTGTCAACATAGGTAAGTGTATATTAAGCTGTCCTCCTACCTCCATCCTTTTAATGCCGCCAACGCCTCTCCCACCATAATAAGAAGCATCTACCGTAGGCCACTTTTTCTTGGGCAGACCATCATCATCTTCTTCCTGCAAACAGATTGTGACACATGAAGGAAGCAAGCACCACTGCTGGGTGGATGGACATGTCCACGATGGCAAAGTGGGTAGGAGTAGAGCTTGTAGAGTCAGACCGCTTGGGTTAAATCCCATTGCTACTGCTTCCTGGGACCGTGGGCAAGTCACTTGCCCCTCCTGAGCTAATTTTCTGTCTGCAAAGTGGGAATGAAAGCAGTACTACCCGCTAAGTTTGTGGCACAATTCTGGGACATGTTCTCTTCTGCATCTCTATTTCTTTGTGGGGGATCTCATCCAATTCCACTATGTGCTGGTAACTTCAGCCCTGACTCCTCTGAACTCCAACAGCTGACTTGACATTCACATGTATGGGGGGGGCTGATAAATATCTTAACAATACCACGACAAAAAGAAGTCCTGATTTCCCCACCCCAAACTTGTTGTTCCTCGTGTAGTCTTCCTCACCATCTGAAAGCCACTCTCTTTTTCCCACTGTCTTTCCCCCACTCATCCCAATTTGCCAACAAGTTCTGTTGATCCTCCTTAAAGGTTGAAAACCTGTTGACTTCTCCACCTCCACCTCCTCTACCACCACCCTGAACCCAAGTCCCCATGTGCTTTCTCCTGGACACTCTGGGATCTTCCTTACTGGCCTCCCTGCTTCCCTCGGACCCACCTACAATCCATTCTCCCCAAAGCAGCAGAATAAGCTCAAACTCCGACTCTGCCGTATGTGTTCTGGCCTTTGCTCATCTCTCGTGTCTTCTTCCTTACCACTCTCCCCTCCCCACTGAGCTCCAGCTTGCTTGCCCTCTCTCTGTTGCTTAGATGCTCTGAGACATTCGTGTGTTGCAGCCGGTGCGCAAGCTGTCCCCTTGTTCAGGAATGCATACCCCCTCCCAGCTTATCATGACGGATTTTCTTATCACTTCTTGGAAAAACCTTCCCTGGACATTCTTCTAAAGTGGCCCCAGTCTCTTCAGTCTGTTTTTAGTTTTGAATCTTATCATGGCTTACTATTTATTTATCATCTGTCTCTCCACACTAGAATGTACGATCCACAGGAGCTTTTGTTCTTCTGCCATGCTTACCAAGTTTTAGAATGGCCCTACTTAGTATGTGGTAGGTGCCCAAGAGTTATCTGTTGAATTTACAAGTTAATTAAATGAGATGGTTCAAATAAAGTGGTTAACTTAGTGCCTGCAACTTAGCTCAGTGAGAAGAGTTACTGTTTATAATATTTTAAAAGATGAAGTGAGACAACAAGAGGACTTGTCACTTTGTGGATGGAAAAGGGACGGATAATTCGTAACTGCTCTTCATCTTGGCATAGGAATTGTTCCTGTTGTGGGGAGAAGAATATCACTGTTTATAATTATGGAGGGATTATAAGAAAGTGGCATGATTTCTCTCCTGGGGAGGGAAAGGAAGCTGGAAAAGGGGCTGTAAAGCAGAAAAATGAGTCCCAAAGAATGGAACTGCTCAGAATGCTGATCTGTTTCTCACAACCTTATTTTGGTGGCATCTAGGGAGTCAAGGACACGGAGTGGAGTCTTATGTTGGGCCACCACAGTGTGAAATGAAGCATCCCATGCAGAATGCAAGGTTCAAAGCAAGGGCAGAAGAGATCAGAGCCAGAGTTGACAAAGCAAAGCATTAACAAGACTACATATTAGGATGCTCTGAGTTAGGTGCTGTGCTAGGGGCGGGCAGGCTTCTTTAACATTTTTTTTTTAGTTGGAGTCTCACTTCACTGTCCAGGCCGGAGTGCAGTGGTATGCTCACGGCCACCCCAGTGTCGACTTGCTGGGCTCAGGCGATCCTTCCACCTCAGCCTTCCAAGTAGCTGGAACTACAGGCGTGCGCTACCGTGCCTGGCTAATTTTTGATTTATTGTAGAGATGAGGTCTCGCCAAGTTGCCCAGGCTGGTCTCGAACCCGTGGGCTTAGGTAATTCTCTCAACTTAGTCTCCCAAAGTGCTGGGATTACAGGCTTGAGTCACTGCGCCCAACCTGGATTTTTTAAAAAAAAAATTTAATATATTTTAAAGGACAGAGAGATAATAGCAAACTAGAGGACTTGCAACATTCTGGCAGCTGATACTTGGGTTGCTCTGTTTCTCTCTCTCTCTCTCTCTCTCTCTCTCTCTCTCTCGGATTCTGTTGACCTTTGTATCCTGAGTGCAAAGTAGGTACTCAGTAAGCACATACTGAATTTATGATAGCACACATGGGATTTATGTAGCCTTTACCATGTTATATGCCAGTCACTCTTCTAAGTGCTTTACATGTATTAACCCTTTAATCTTGCAACCAGTCAAGGAGGTAAGTGGTGTTATTATTTGTATTTTAGAGACCAGGAGTAGAGAGGTTAAGTTACTTAGGTCACCCAGTTTGTGTGGCAGAGCTGGATTTGAACTTGGGCAGCCTCGATCATGTTAGTTTCACAGTGTTGGCAGGTTCTGAGTTTTGTTCCTTTTCTATTTGCTTTTCCAATCATTTGATGGCATCAAATAAATGATAATTTTCTATTTCTCACTCCTTGTACCTGCTACTTTTGATGACTTATGACACAAAACATGATAAAATGAAACAAAAACCCCAGTACAATAAAATACTATTTTACTATAAAATACAAAATACTATTTTATTTCATATTATTTTACTTTATGTTATAATTTCAGAGATTTATTTCGCCTTACGATATTAAAGCAAGAAACTTATGTATCTTATATAGTTAGTTAAACCTTACACTGGAGATGGAGGCCTGTGTCTACTCCAAAAAGCTTGGACATTTCTGGTCTAGGGCGGCTTTACAAAGAAGATAACAGGAATTCTCTTAAAACTGAACACAGCAGCACCAAGAATGTAAGAAACTCCAAAAAACCCGCTTTATTTCATGGGGGACTGAAATGATCTCATGAAATCCCCTAATTTTTTAAATTGCAGGAATGCAAACATTAGCAATCATCTAATTGAGCCTTTTCATTGCACAGAAGAGGAGTTAGACCCAGAGAAATGAAGTGACCAAAGAGAGTGAAGCTCTGGTCTGGATTTCTGATGCCTTGTCCAGGAAGTTTTCTCCCCTCATAGTTTACATTTACATTCGACTTTCTCTAATTCGCAAATTCTCTGAGTGCTTAGGATACAATAAGACGCAAGAAGTCGGGTTTCCACTCTTTCCCAGGTTCCCTTGCACGACCGCGCAGCCTCCTCCGCGTCTTTCTGCCAGGACTTGCGGCGGGCGGGGCTAGGGAAAGAAGGGTGGGCCAGCCCCGTGCGCATGCGCAGGACCCGGCCTTCGCACAACAGGAAATGCCTCGACTTAGGAAATCGGCACACGCTTCTGATCCACTAAGCCCTTCGTTTAATCCCCTGACCGGAGCTTGCTTGCCAAACTGAAACAGCAGCAAAGAGCAACACAGAGGCCTAGGGTTTGACCAACAGGAGCGTCAGAGTTTCCCCTGCAGTTAGCATGGCTCTGTTTACACATTTTGGAGACAGGAGGGTTTTGCAATCTCCAGGAAGAGAAAGGAACCTTTGATGTGTTTTTTCATTTGGCCAAAATGGATGGAGTAAAATCACAGCCCAGTTGCCGGCAAGTCCGCTAAGAAACTCGGTAGCACTGGAGGGTGAATTTCTGCATTTAATTAAAGTATAAAGGCTCTTGGAATGTTCCCCCCAACTACCAGAAAAGAAATCTTCAGTGTGACCTTCCTTCCTTCCCCTCCCTCCCTTCTTTCCTTTCTCTCTTTCTCTCTGTCTGTCTGTCTGTCTCTCTCTCTCTCTCTCTTTCTCTGTCCCTGCCTCTGTCTCTCTTTCTCTCTGAGGGTCTTGCTGTCACCCACTGGGCTTAAGCGATCCTCCTGCCTCAGCCTCCCAAAAAGCTGGAATTACAGGCGCGAACTACTGTGGCAAAACCTTGCAGTCCTTTATGGTTACTGGAGGACAGGACTGGATGAGCTGGAACTGCTTTGTATATGAATTCAGGGGCTGGGAGGGGACTAGCAGGCAACCAGCAGCAGATGAGCAGAACAGAGTGGGACTAAGCTACCAGCAGACTGCCAGGTTCCCCCTCTCAGTCAGAATGATAGGTGTGGCAAAGAGGCTGTTTAATATTGTTAGAAATTATTTGTTAGCTGTATTTTTAAACCTTCGGTAAAAGTTGTATTTTTAAACCTTCGGTAAAAGTTGCTGCATAGATGGCCTTGTGCCAGTGTTGCTCGATGGTGTCTAGCAAACCAAGATGAGATAACACAGAAGAAGCGAGGAGTAGGAGTCAGTGGTGCCTGGGAGAAACCGCAGAGATTGGGGAGGGATGCTGGTTTCCCATCAGGGGAAGATATGCTTAAATCTGAAAGGATGTGGTGGCCCCAGACGTACAGTTGGCTGGCGTTTGGGTAACACAAGTGGCAGCACATTCCTCAGATGGTAGAGGCCCATTCTGACCTGCGTGTCCTCAGGCAGACCTAAGTGTGCCTGAAGGCATAGTCCTGCTCAAGGAAGAAACAGCAGTAGACTATTAAGTTGGTCAGCTCACTTAGCTCATAACTGGATTATTCCTGAGCTGTCCTCAGACCCTGAACTTTCCCATCTTTCCCAATCAAGCCAGGCTTTTGTACAGCTCCATGCTTCAACATTCAGGGATCCACATGCCTGGAAAACCCTTCTCCCACTTCTTCTATCTATAATAACTATCAATTCCTCAGCAAATGTAATGCTCCCTTCCTGTGTTTCCACAGCTCCTTGTATTGACTTCCACTCACTCAACAAACATTTAACTGTTAGTTATTAAGCAAACCAGCAGGTAGAAGGAGTGAGGTCTCAAACTCTGGGGCTGCCTCACTCCTGCATGTAGGCTGTGCACTGGGCAACATCACAGACTTAATGTGAATAGGGCCCCATGGAATCATGCATAGGGTGGCCCTCTCAGACTCAACTGACACGTTCTTTAACATTCCTGATTCTCTGGTGTCCATCTTCTAGAAGAGCCAGATGGACAGTCTGACCTC